TGTCAACCTATTATGTGGTTTTACAGGAGACGATCTGGCAGAGAGAGGAGCTCAAGAAACTTCATCTGTTGTCGTAGAAACTGTACAAAAGGTTTCCAAGAGCAAACAGGTAGGGCCTGTGCTTCCATTGTTCAAGTCAGATGCTTCAAAAGTGTCTAGCAAAGGCATGGGTCTCAAGAAGGCCTACCTCCAAAAGCAGAATATGTTCACCGTTCATGCAGGAGATGCCGGTAAGCTGTTATCACTGTATTGTGTGTATCATCTTCCTGTTTTGTAGATACTTATGGTGTTCCCTGCATATCTGGTCCCTGGATAGCATACCTTGCATCTATCCCAGAGATGCTACAGACAGGTTCGCATCTTACAAATGGGAGCCCTTTTTAGCTAGCTGGTCTGCAATTTCATTGCTATAAATCCCCATATGTCCAAGCACCTACAACAAATATACTTTGTTTCATTCAGCCAGTATCATCAGGGATTGATGGCAATCCCAGACCAATCTTTAGCTATTCCTGCAATTGGCAAGTGTTCTGATTGCAGCTTGACTGTCTGCTTAAAAAGGAACATAGGCCCTTCTAATATTCTCAGCAATACATGCCTGAAATACCTTAGTGTACCACTCTAGGCTGAAGCTAAATCTCTGCCTCATGCCATGGCCATACACTCCATTGGAGACTTAGACCCATGAATACACTAGATAAGCCTTCCTTTTCCTGTGGGTACAATGCCCCTTTCCTATTCACTTCTGTCAGGTAATTGGACTATGAATGGTATAAGGAATGCATATCACAGTACCATTCCTCATCTGTAAGTTGGGTTCCCTTGTCATTTCCCAAGGTTTGCTTATATGTCCATATCATAATGATTGCAGCCTCCATTGTTCTTTGCAACTGAATCTGTAGATTCCAGCCCAGGCATCATTCCACCTTAAAATGAAGAGAAGGGAGCCCCAGGAGGACCTCAGTTGCAGCAGTAGTAACCATATTCATGCAATTTTCTTAGCTTGGCCTGACTTATCTTAAGTTTCAGTCTTGGCCACCAAACAATGTCGGTATAAGTGACTGTCAGTCCCTTGTTCAACATCAGTTCAAAGTACTTGACTTCTGAGAACATTTATTTTGACTGATCAAAGACAGTTGGTTCCTTGAGAGTCTTCAGAACTCTCTTTTTGCTGATAAGTATTTCTCATACCTGCTACTCCAATGGCTTTTAAAATTGGTGGTGAATCTAAATGTATAAATTAATAAACTGAAATGCAAACAAATAACATTTGAAAACTATAATATAGGTATCTTACTACAGCCAGTTACTCATTGTTTACAGGAAACAACATTCTGTATGTGGGTGTGTATGGTCCCAAGAGCCCATGTGAAGAGGTGTTCATCAAACATATGGGACGCAACAATTATCAAGTAAACTATGTTGTGCGGGATCGAGGTGAATACATCGTCATTGTTAAGTGGGGAGATGATCATATCCCAGGCTCACCATTTAAAGTGGAGGTGTGATTTCCATCCATAGCATTTCCTACATTTTGACTAAGCAACAATATTAGCATCTTTATAGGATTTTGCATTAAAGGAAGGATTCCAGAGTATCACAGAAACTCAAATGGAAAAATGTAATTGTGGATTACACATAAGTTGGTGTTTTGAAGGAGTAGTATTTCATTTCAATATTTCAGCCACAATTTAGAGGAGTAGAAGTACTTGAAGGACTTTACTCATTTACATTCAAAACAACATTAAACAGTTCTTAGTTATGAAGTCCTGAGGGCCCTTTACTAGATAACAGATATCTGGCATCTTAAACTAGTCAGATTATATGAAGTGTAGCTGTGTGTTATATTTCTTTACTGTTATCCTGCTGTAAATTTAATGCCTTTCAAGGAACCTTGTTTGACCCTGTTTTAAAATTTTGTGCTACACAGTACATTAATTTAGTTTTCCAAACAATGGAATAAAGTGGCCAAAGAAACTATTTAGGTGTTCACCATTGGTAACTGAGTGCTGCATGTGTGACTTTTCCATGATATGTGAACTTGCAAGTATTGAATTTGAAACCACAGCGTGGCTTAGAATATGCTGATTTATTTTTGAACAGTTAACTGCAGAAACACAGAACATAACCAGACATTTGCAACAGTTTCTTAAGAAAGTCTTCCATGCATGAACTCGAAATCATTCCAAGGACCAACACTTGCCAGTTCCCAGCATGCGTTGAAGTAGAGACAGATCATTCCACCTGAGTTTCTGTGATATGCCATCCTGTTGTTTTAATATGATAAAAAGTGCCTTAAATTATTGATATAGTCATTTCCTGATAATCTGCAGCCAGAGTTGTCCTTGGCAAACATACACATGACATCCACCAATGAACTGATCATTTAACCGTAGTGCCTTGCAGCCAGCCTGTGCAGAATCTGTACAGTTCTCTTGGGCAGCATCAGTGGATATTTAAGGACCAGAAATCCTAGGTTCCTAGTGAATGGGAGTTTTAAATTTGAGTGACTTAAAGAAAAGTGAATTTATATTTTAAACTGCTTAACACTTGTTTTATCAAACCATACTGCATATAATTTGGACAGGTATTTTTATTACAAGTTGCTCAATATTTGTTATATAATACTCTGACAAAATTTACCTAATAAAAATATTGTGCTAGTGACTGGAAGGTATACACAAAAATAAGGCTTTAACTACAAGCAACTAATCACAGCAATGTGTAAAGTGAATAGCATTGCCCTTTTGGTTGGTCCAAAATACAGGTAGGTGCCATAAAATTTGCATGTTTGAGATATGTATATGCACTCTTTAATTGTTATACATTGAAGTACTATACAAGCACTGTTATCATTATGGAGTTGCAGGTATTGTGGTCATTTCATGTAGTCATGTGCATGCACCTGAGACAGACACAGAGAGACTTTTTTCCTCAATTTTATACAAATTATTTTTCATTATTTTCATTTGCTTGTTCGTGCTATCCAATTTCTTGCAGAGTCTGTTTTTGTTAGCAGTGGCGACATGGGAGTAACATCATATTATTAATTTGTGTGTCACTGTTAGGATCACATTGCCATATATTTAATTTACACTGCCCATACTAAAATTCTTTAAGAACATTTAAAATCATTCAGAATGATTGCTGAGTAATAAGCCTTATTTGTAATAAATGTATATGTAGGTTGAGTTCCATTTAACAAGTTAAGATTGCAAAATTTGTATGATTAAAACATGTGTAAGAAGCTACATTCATGCTCCAGATTCGAATGACAAGTAAAGTGTCATTTCCAGTCATTTTGAAATGTATTTTAATATAACTTTACTTTCTCAATTTTCTTGATGGAAGGGGGAGGGGGGAAGTACCCAATCACCAGTCGCCACTGATTGTTACATATATTTTGTAGTTAGTATGATTCATGACAATTGTATTAGATGAGACCAATTTAAACTGTAGCTTGAAGCTTTTAACTGCAGAATTTATGTTAAAGTAAATAGCAAGTGCCTTACACTATGACAAAAGAAGTAAGTAATTCTGAGCAAAATTTGTATTAGATTGCAAGAAACTTGTAATTTTTCCTTTGTGGCTGTAGTTTATAATTAGTGTAATGTATTATAAAATAAATCCTGTACATATTTTCATTCATATGTTATTTTCTTACTTTGTGTTCTTCAGAGGTGCATAGTGCACAATCAACACTACTTTAGATTAGATTGAGGTTTTCATAGCAGTGAAAATGTTGATTTTGGTCTTCTGGGTAGTAATGCCATGTAGACTTGTAGGTAGATACCAACATTGTGGAGGAACATACTGTGTTTATCTTCAGGGTATTACAACCTAGAAAACCACATTGAAACTTTTCTATGATATAAACCAACAGAGCAACAGCATTGTTGTCCCCTTATTTTAAGAAAGTAACACACGGAAACATTTCACTAAAATTCACATTTTCTGCATTTTATAGTGATTTATGGCTTTCAGGTATTGGACGGGCCTACCCATTATTATGAGCAGAACAGATTGGTTGTATAGAACTGTGAGGACAGAACTTTTTCACCAACTATATACAGATTGCTGTCACCTAATTTCTTTATTTTGTTAACAAGTCATTTCAAAGGCAAAAACAAAAATTATTGCATATATGTGTCTACATACTGACAAATGGCGGAATATTGGCTATGCACAGCTGCCTAATACAGTGTTTTCTTTTCAATGAGTGGAACTATTTTATGTTGTAAAATCCTCCAAGTTTTCTTATGCCGGTGGCAGGCAGCATGTCCATAGTTGGCAGCCAACAGCAGCAGTTGATGGATTTCTGTCCCTGTCATTCCTTCAGACACAAATAAATGCACTATTGTGTGTCGCCCTGTCCATGGTGCAAATCTCTAGTTGAGAGTCATCTTTATGCTATGTTCCCTAGGCACAGATGGACTACAACTGAACCACACTTGCAGCATGTTACCATCTAGCTTTGGACATGAACATGAGAAAGCCTCAGCATTGTTGCCAGTGATACAATAGAAATGTTCCAGTCTTGCCTTTGTGTTTTGAATCTCCTGTAGTTGACTGTAATTAATTAGTTTGTTTCATTTAATATGTATGGGGGTGGGGGATCCCCCCACAGAGTGGAATATTTCCTGTAGTGACTTGTAAACACACACATTACTTTCCTGTTTAGAAGCCAAAGAAAAATTTCCATTGGTGACTTTTACCTTAATGTACATTCACACACTAGCTGCTGTTCAGGATCAGCACCAGTATGCAGGCCACAAGCTGTACTCCTGCCCTTAACCGTTCTGCACTTGCTGCAAATACAGTAAAGAATGTACTGATCAAACATCATGGCATAGTGATTAGTACTCCTGTTTCAGGAACTCCCAGTAGACAGTTTTTCTCTGTTACTCCAGGCAGTTGCATATAATCAGCTGATAAAGTGTCATCATATAAGTAAAAGCCAAGAAATAAATCTAATTCTCAAAATTCAGTCCAGTTAATGTTATGTTTTATTTATATTGGATTTCATTTTGTTTGATGATCCTTTTGTTAATAACAAAAGCTATATTGTATAATAGGATGCTTATGATAAGGGAATAGAAGTAATGCCACTGTGCCCTGCTTTAAGCACAGAACATTAGAAATATGTGAAGCAGAATGTATTATGAGAGACGCTGAATAGTGTTGCAGTTTTCTGTTCCCACACTACTGTACTGTCAAAAGCCATTATGAATTGTACCTCCTGCTGCACTGATCAAATAAGGATTAATATATCTTGGAAGTATTATGCCATATCACAATCCAAATATAAAATTTGCAAAATTAATTGCTGTGCGATGAATTTACCTTGCATGAAGTGGATTTTTTTTTGTGTGTGTGTTAATTGGTCACTGTATATTGCAAATATCACATCTAATCCTTTCACAGTTACAATGTCCTGACTGTTGGCCCATTTAAAAAATTCTTGCACTTCTTTTATGTCGTACTGGAGGGATAATTACAGCCGTAGAACCCAACACATCTTGTCTGCGTTTTAAACTAATAATACAAAGTCTTTAAAACTAATTTTTGTAAAAACCAATATAATGCAGCTAGAATTGTTTTATTTCCTACTTATCTACATCTGTTGTGTACCTTGTAGCAGAGGCATTAGAATTTTAATTTTGGCTGATGGATTCATCTGCTATAAGCTGTTTAGTAATAAAATGGTTGTGAAATGGTTAATAATCCCACAAAGAAAATTGACAACACATTTGAAGAAAGAGTGGTAAAAGCTACTATGTTATGTTAATTTGCCATTTTGGAAAAATGAAATATTGTTTATGAGGAATAGCTACAGTCAACAGCACTTCCATTAATCTGGATGAAGAGAGACTCACCAGGAGCAGGCACATCATAACGGATAAGGAAGGTCCAACGTTGTTGTTCCCACTGCTGAGAACCAAGCCTGGCCATGCATCGAAGTTTGAGCATCCTGTTGGGGAATGTGGTTTGAGTGGCAGGCATTCTAATCCCGGTAATGGCAACATCTAGGTTTGTAGATTTATCTTGGTTCAACCTTGCTTCCAATTCAGTAACAGCATAGTGTACAAGCCACTCTGCAGTCACCTGTAAGAATAATAATCATCTCATCACATTTTTTGTAAGATTTTATGACCAAACTTGTGATATAAAAATATCAGAATTAAATTTCAGAGGTATTCCTCTAAAGCAGTTACATTCAGTTAAAACAATAAACTAAAACAAAGAATAAAGAAAAATGTAAAAAAAAATTTATTTCTTGCAAAACAAGAAATAATTCAACATTAACATTTAGCTACAAAGGAAATATTATTAATGCAACCATCTGTAGTAGGTAAGAATGCAAAATGTTGTTCAAGGTAGATCACACACTATATGTGGACATTGTGTACTCCCTGTACAAGCTATTATTCTGGTCAAGGTATAGCCCTCCATACAAACTATTGAGAAGGGTGTCATTCTGGCTATAGAATAGACCTGCGTAAACGATAGTAAAGTGGCAATCTCTTCGGCAAGCTATAAAGGAGACTATCATACTGCCCATTCTATCGGACTGTGTGCGAGTTATGTAGCTTATAATTCTGGACATGGTATAGCACACTATAAGAACTGTTGGGGGGGGATCATTGTTATAAAAAGTAAAGTGAAGGTAAAGGTAAAGGTATCCCTAGTCTTGAGAAGTCACTTGTCCCAAATCTTGATAGCAGACTCGTAAGGCGCCACTAATTATTATCCATTACAGCAGCCATGTAAGGAGGCATCGAAAGCCATTATAACAGCTGATTTATAGGGATGTCTCTGTATGTCCCATTAGAATAGGCAGACAAGGAGCCCTCTAAAGAGCCATTACAGCAGGTATGTAAGGAGGCCTCTGTATAGCCATTATAATAGGTAGTTAAAGAGGACTCCAAAAATCATTATGGCAGTCCTGAGGAGGTTCCTGTAGCCATTTCAGTTTGGAGATAAGGAGTTGACATCCATTATGATAAGTTAAGGTGGCTTTTATATAGCCATTATTTTAACTAGGCAAGGAGGCCCCTTTGTAGGCACTGTGATGGACATGTGATGAGACGCCTATGTAACTATCGTAATGGCATGAGAGGAAAGCTCTATATGTCAATTAGAGTAATCGTGTAAGGAGACCCATCCTAGCTCATGGCCAGTCCCAGTGTATGCACAAGCCATCATATAGCCAGACAAGTGCATGCTTAGGCCAGCCAATTCAAAATGTGCAGACCAAACCATTATGAGCCAAACCCTTGCGCAGCCAAACCTATACAAGCCCATGTCCAGCCTGCATTTGTTGAGTCCAGAGGATTCCCATTCCAGTCCATGCCCTGGTCACCCCATGCTCAGCTTAGGTACATTACACGCTGGGCCTGCCGCAATCACAGCAGCCTAGCCTAGCGCATGCACAACCTAACTGGTGCTAACCCATAAACATCCTGGCCCATAATGAGCCCAAGCCCTGCTTAGCCCAGTCCAAGAACAGCCTAGCTCACATCTAGCCCAGTTGGTGCCCAACAAGCCCAGCCAATACACAACCTACACAATGAGCAGCCAAACTCATGCCCAGCCCAGCCTATGCGTAGTCTAGCCCATGCCGAGAAAAGTCCATACCCAGCGCAGCCCATGCTCAATGCATACCAGGAACAAGCATTACCCATCTCATGTCCAGGCTGTGCACAGCACATGGTGAAACTACGCTCAGGCCAGCCCAGCACAGTGACAAGCACAATCCAAGCCTATATCTAGACAGAAGCGCAGCCCAAACACATCCCCAGCAGCTTGACAAATGCCCAGGGAAGAGCAGACCATCTCAGCTAAAGGCCGAGATCAGCGCAATTGATGTTTATTTAACCCATCCACTGTCAAGTTTACGCTCAGAAGTCAATGACCAGAACTTAACATGAAAAACAACCACCACCACCACCAAACAAACAGAATTTTTAACGCTTGTTTTATCCCCCCCCCCCCTGGCAGTCTGGTTCAGCGGGACACCGAGTCAACCAGAGAGACATTCCGTAAGATACCGGGCGTGACAAGAGACCGTGTCCGGCACAGACCGATTCTGGTAGGGAAAATTTTAAAAAAAAAATCAAAATTTTCGAAAATCAAAACATGCTGCAAATTGTACAAAAAACCCACAATTTTTTTAAAAAATTTCAACTTCAATTTTTTTTTCTTCAAATATTTCGAAAATATTTGGTTTTGTG